ATTTTTGTTTGCGTCTTCCAGAAAATCTAGGCATGTGATTCAGAGTTCCAGTGCTCTAAATATCCATTCAAATGTTTACCTATGTAAAGAATTGTGGAATTATACCTCAGCCCTTGTCTGCTTGCCCACCTCCTTCCTTTCTCAATCTCTTTCAGTCATCAGATAACTGGTATCAGACATACAGCGTTTGTCCTAGCGGAGAGTCCACTTCCTGTTCCTCCCATTTACCACTGAGAGATATTTGGCTACTTGCCAATGACTAGGAACCAGATGGTCTTTCCATGTAACACACCATGACCACAGTACAATCTGGGATACCATAAGTGTCCTGAAAATAGGTCTCTAAATTACAACACGACTTAGAGAAAGTCTGCAAGAAAGAAGAAAACTGGATGAAATTCCTTATGCTTGACGTTTTAGAATAGATAGAATGAGGGCCTCACACAGAAATGTAAATTGAGTGGAATGAAGTTAAACCTTTGATCAAAATGGGAAACACCTTCCCATCGATGGAAATTCTTCCAGAGGAGGACGACCTATCAGACTCTCTCCTGGGTCAGGAGAGGGAGGTAGCCCCCATTGCTCTTCACATGCCTCTCAGAGCCTACGTCCCGTTACCTGGAATTACCTGGAGGCCATGTACTGACACAATAGATGTGTGGATTTGCTTTCTCCTAGAAGGTCCTAATTTACCTAGTTCCTTGACCTGGTTATCCTGTCATGGGAGCTTCTTAGGCCAGACATGCTAGTGGCTTTTAACTGTCCAATTTGTGACTGCTGGTTGATAGCAAAAACAGTTTTAAAGATAAAAGAATTAGCCAAGCTCTAGGGCCTAGGCCCTGGTGACACAACCAGCCTCTGGGAACCCCCACCCAGCACTGCCTCAGTTGCTGGCCAGCAGGGAAGATTCCCACAGGCAGGTTTCCCCACCAAAACCCCCTATCGCACCCTGCAATCTATTAGACCCATGCCCTACCCCAAATATACCCATCCCCCTGCGACCCCAGTGGCTTCCTGAGACACAGAATCCACCAGCTCTCATTGGACCAAGAGTGGCTTTCTGAGACTCAGAATCTGCTGGCTCTCATTGGACCAAGAGAGGCTTCCTGAGATACAGAATCCACCAGCTCTGATTGGACCAAGCGCTAAGATTGGGACCATTGTGGACCCCTGAGAAACAGGCACAGCAAGCACTGATTGGACCATGAGCAGCTTGCTCAGACACAGGTACCTCTTACACCTAGAGGAGAAAGAGATGAGTAGATGCCAGTGCAAAAATACATACAACAATATAAAGAGCAATATGGCATCAGCAGAACCTAGCAAGACCTGAACATCACAATGTAGAAGAAGCAGAAGAAAGGGACCTTAAAAATAACTTTATGAAGATGATAGAGGTCTTTAAATATGAAATAAAAAATTCTCTTAAAGAAATTGAGGAAAAGATAAACAAAAAATTGGAAGAAATCAATAAATCCTTTAAAGAAAACAAGAAAACCATGAAAAAGCAATTGAATATGTGAAGAAAACAGTTCAAGACCTGAAAACTGAAATAGAAACAATTAAAGAGATACAAACTGAGGAAATTCTTGAAATAGAAAAATTGAGTAAATGAACAGGAACTACAGATACAAGCATAACCAATAGAATATAAGAGATGGAAGAGAGAATCTCTGGTATAGAGGATACAATAGAAGAAATAGATTTGTCAGTCAAAGTAAACACCAAAGCCAGAAAGG